AAAGACAAGTTTTAAACCTTCTGACCAATGCCCTATTGATACAGAGTTATGGACATTCTTATGAATTCTTTACTGAGAGCAAGACATTGCCACAAAGTTCAAAACGAGAAGTTTTAACAAAAACCAACCCATCTTTTTTGAAGATAACCAATTTAGAAGAAAAAAGCAGCGGTTGACTATATGAGGACATCATAATCAAGTCTACTTCGAAATCTAATACCCTGAGTAAGACAAGTTCGTTTTCATTGAAATATTCACGACGATTTAATAACTATCAATTCTGCCTATAGGCAAAATTTCAGATTGAAACTCTTTGTTTGGGACTTTTCGACAATGCTTTGTTCTCAGTAAAAAATTCATTAAAATGTCCATAACTCTTCACCAATGGGTTATGGATCCGAATGTTTTTGAAGCTTGTTTTGGTCTCGCCGAGACCTCCTCGTCGCCATAATATGAAGTCGAACGACGTCCGACAGTTCGATATGTTCCTTAGTAAGACCGAAGAAATAGTTTTAAAAAATAAAAAACAGCGCTTTTTTTCTCGTCATAACATTAACCATATATCGGAGACGACAGAGTCATAAGCACGAATACTTTCAAGGTTTTCTTAGTCTTAAAGAAACTTACTTTTAGTAGACAGCTCGAGTATCGTACTTCGCTGATAAAATATGAGTCTACTTTGAACATATCTTATTTGGTCACAAAATCTATCAAACAAACTCTTTTTTTTCTAGGCTACTGGTGATCCACATTATCTTGAAGTTGGTAAAACAATCTTAACTAATTTAGAAGAACATGCTCGTGTACCATGTGGTTATGCTGCTTTATCCGATGTTTCTACCGGTCAAAAAGAAGATCGCATGGATTCATTTGTATTAGCTGAAACATTTAAATATCTTTATTTATTATTTGATTCAATTCCACATCGTTATATTGATATTGATCAATTTATATTTACAACTGAAGCACATCTTCTTCCATTGAATATTTTATTATTTAATATAAATGATACATTAAAAACACAATTTGATCAAATAACTTTAAAATCAGCACAACTTTATGAACAAAAAAATCTTTCAATAAATAAAAAACAATATGAAAGAAAAGCTAAAATGAATCAATGTCCAGCTATGGATGAACAATTTAAATCACATCAATATAAAAAAGAATTACGTGAAAATATTCGTGGTGATCAAGATATGACAGAAACAATAACAACATCATCGAAAAATATTCAAAAACAATCGAAAAAGTTAGTTGAAAATCTAAATCTATAAATTAATTTAGGCTACATACTAGAATTAATTAACTTCTATTGTAGATGCAACGATTGTTTTCGAGTAAGAATTGAATTCACGAGTGAAATAAATATCAAAATAAACTCTTTTTTTCTTTACATAAATCTCAAATAGAGATGTGCAGGGAAATCTTTTTTCATAGTCTTTACCATATCTAAGAAAAATTTTCTCACCCTAATACTAGTTTACACTGCATGGTAGGATAAAATATGAATGATTTGCAAGTTCTACTTCACATTCCTCTTGCGCTACGCTGCATGATACGATATGATAATGTTACCCTGCACAGCTCTGAGTTCGAGAAAAATATATAAATCAGAGGATATGATGTTTTTAATCAGTTACATATTGCTCTGCTATGCTTTTTTTGATATAAACTGGAGAGACGGACATTTGCGCGCTAAGTCAGATGATTGTCGAATAGATTGCTTTTTTAAACGAATGATATACAATAATATCAATTCAAATAAAAAACTCAATTATTTGAATATCGTACGAAATGATTGATTGATTTCCTCATCCACGATTTGATGTTGGGTGTGGCTGAAGATAGATGAAACTAGTCTGAATGAGGCACACTGACACTGGATTGACGAGTTATCATATTATTTCATTTGTGGATAATATGATATTTGACATAGTCAACTTTCAACAAAGTTTTATTACACATCCTCTTTGAGACACTAAGAGTAAGAAAACATTAACAAGACACATCGGCAACGACCGGTTTGAAATCTCTATCTGTATCAGTTTCATCTTTACAGTCAACCATCAAAGCATAAAATGAGTCGTTCAAGTATATCAAGCGTTTATTGTGTTTATAATTTCTCTGCCCATTTCTATCTGTCTATTGTTGATTTTTTTGTGTTTTCCTCAAAAGTTTCTTCATTGAGAATCTGTCTCAAGGTGAAAGTGTGTTTACACACAATTGTCATAGACTCATATGATCAAGTTAAAAATGATGCTATTCGAAAGAAAAGGATGAAGTTTTTAAAAAATTATTAATGATATAACTAACAATGGAACCTCTTCAGACGTCAAATCACTTTTTCATTGAGACGAAGTTCATTTAATAAGTATTAGTGATGAATAGAAAAATTAATACAAACGACTAAATAATATTTTCTTTAGTATATCTCATTATCATTTAACGGCTATGGAATTTTCCGCTGATAATCCTCAGCATATATCTGAACTTAAACAAATGGGTATTCAAATTCAATATTTGATTGATGGTCGTCAGTATTAGATTGTTTCTTTTTTTTTCTCGTATAATTTTTAATGATTTTTTTTTTTTTATTTATTCAGAAGTTCAATTAGCTCATATGGCATCAAGTGCTGAATCAATTGATGATGCTGAAAATGGTTTAATATTTATGCAAGATATGATTGAATTAATAAAAGAAACGAATACGTTTGAAAATTCTCTCACTCATCATATACCATTAAATGTCATACCATTAATAATTTCATCATTAGAAAACCCATTTAGTTTTAATGTTGCTCCTGCTCAATTTGGTAAACAATTACATGATACTCAAGGAGTAAATAAATATTTAACTTCTTTTTTTTGTTTTGTTTTTGTTGTAATTTATAAATATTATTTGTTTTTTTATTGTTTAGATATTTGCTCAATTATATGTTGTTGAACCATTTTCTGCTTGTTCAGAAATATTATTTTCTCATTATGTTTATTCACGTATTGGTATTGTTCGTCGGGGTGATTGTATGTTTATTGAAAAAGCTCGTTATTTAGAAAATGCTCAAGCTATTGCTGGTATTGTTATTGATAATAATATGTCATTAAATTCTTCAAATGGTGCAATATTTTCTATGTCTGGTGATGGTCAAACTAATGTAAATATTCCACTTGTTTTAATGTTTAAAGATGAAGCAGATCAATTATTATATCTTTTATCAATACAACCAAAATTAATTGTATATATTGGAGAAGAATATCGTTTAATGGATAGTTTTTATGAACAAACCGACTATTTAGAAAGTTTAATAGAACCATTTAATCAAATAACAAACAAATGGATTTATGGACAAATGGAATTGTTTAAAAAAAATAAACAATGTTCTGTTGTACCAAATAATTTAAAAGAATTAGAATTAACAATTAAACAAGTTGAATATCGTTTTCAAAAAAGTAAGAAATATAATAATTTCTTTCGACTAAAGGACAACGAGGAAAAGAATATTAATTAGATTCACGAGCATCTCAAAATTATATGTATATACCGATGTTTTAATCATTGCCGAAAATTACTGTTTTTCCGTGCTTATATAGAATCTTATAGAGAAAAAAAAATAGCCAAGTTTTTGAAAGTATCCGTGTTCAAGTGAAAGGCGTCCGAAATCGAAGAGTTCAAATCTGAGATCACTGTTGATATGAAACATTGACGAAAACTTGTAGTTCTGAAAAATGCAAATACGTTTTTCTTCGGATCCAATGTTCATATTAACCGTGATCAAATTCAGCTATCCTATTCAATTCTATTGTTTCGTTTCTTTGTATATTAAAAAAAGACTAAAGAACTGATCGAATATTGTTTTGAAACTCATACATATCGACTTATTCTAAAACTTTTTTCTAAACTCGATGAAGTCTAATCATAGCTTCGAAGAGAACGATTAATAGGAAAAAATGGGTTATTAATACTAAACAACAAGCTGATTTCTGGAACTACTATCCAGGAGTGTCAGTTTCCAAGTCATTTTTAACAAAAGAATGGATTATGTGTAGATATGTACAGGAAGATTTTTTCAATGTAATGATCCATGTACTATCAAATTTTATTGTGTACCATTAAGATTCTTAATGGTACACAATAGAACTAAACGTCTTTCGTTCTCGAATATTAACTATCTCTCTCAATTGAAAATTCTATGTTTTTGTTTATTTCTTCAAATAATGCTTTATTGAAAGTTTTCGGCGAGGGAAAAAATTCTAAGTTAAATTAGATTTCGAAGACTATCGAACGATTAATTATGATTTGATAACGAGAATTAGAGTATTCAAAAGAAGAAAATAGAATGTAGCAATAAATTATTTTGTCATGTAAACTTTTAATCGAATAGTTTAAGTGAGTAAAAGACGAGGTTCGAATCTATCTGTTGGAAGTAAATGATGATTATTCTTGAAATTCAACGCTGAATTATCTGTTGACAACCAGAGCTTCACTGATGCTTCCTTATTTTATTATTCGAATATAAATATATAAAATTTTATTTAGATTATGAGCAATTATCTAATCTTGATTTAACTACTTTCGATTCCAATAATCAATTAAATAGTATGGAGGATATTGCTCAGCCTACAGAATTCGATCAACTACTTCAGGAAGTCATTTCTATTAGTCAACAATCATTAAATTTTAATACGACTACTAATACACAAGAAAAACAAATCAATCAATTTATTAAAATAAACGAAACAGATGAAGAAAAAAACAATGATGGATAACACGAAACTTCAACGATATATACAGAAGAAAAAAGAAGAATTTTAAGCAACATATTATTAATTTTTTTCTATTATAGCCGGTGGTATATCGATTTATTTTCTAGTCTTTAATTTATTAAATTGAATGAGTTTTAATATGATAAATATTTGACATATTATTATTGTTTTTTTTTTTTTTGTTGTTGTTGTTACCGTTGTTTTTTAAAAATATGTATCGAAAATGAAAACGGTTAATAAATATATATGGTCAATGTGCTAAATCAGCAGAAACAATATTTCATATGTAAATGTATCAAGATAAAATTGAAAGAAAAAAAAAAGTTTTGCTTTTACAATACATTTAACCCTTTTTTAGAATAGAAGTACTCGAATCATACAATCTTGTGGAGGATCTAAAATAAAGAAATAGAGTGTTTTGCATCACTTTGTTGGATGATCATTGAACGCCTACTCATTTTCTTTACATTCTTCATTCATACAGAGGTTAGAGATGAAACTAGCACCGGTACGGATTTCAGACCAATCATTATCAATGTGTCATATTTAATCTTTTTTTGCTTTTATGAAGAAACGCTTCTAATTGTCAAATCGTTTTTGACTTGAGACTGTGTGTATCATACTGAGATATTGTATTTTTACCGTACTTTTTGGTCGAGTGCCGTAATCTCCCTCAGGAAGACTTAGTTTCGAATTTTAACGGCAAACTTTGCACAGAGACAGGCCTTAATGAATATAGCTTAGGGTGAAAGTTTTAGATCTTTCAATTGCGCCTATTCTGAAATAAGAACATTTAAATTGACCATTGTATGTGAGAAATGCTTTTACCATAGCCGTATTTTAAAATAGAATCGAAACTTAGTCTTCCTGACGGAGATCACGGCATTCGACTAAAAACTACAATATCTCGGCAGCAATAAGTTATTAGCCCGAACTCTTGTCAGAGTATTGAAAGCTAGTTAGAATCTACATAATGCACATAGTTCTGACTCAAAATCGATTTGACACATAGGAACGTTTCCTCTTTAGCATCTGATAGAGGATTTTTAATGAAACTTTGCTGAAATTTTACGATGGTCTATCGATCAATTCAGTCTGACGTAGATGGTTGAAATGATCTACAAACTTAATAGTCACTTATGGAAGTGAGAAAAATACGAGCGTACACCGATTTTGGATTGTTTCTTGCACGAAATGGAATAATGTTGTTTTACTTTATTGAAAAAAAAAACAGTTTTGATTCATGATTATTCCATGTATAAAAATATATTTCGATCTATTTTTGTAAGATCATCTGTTCTTTAATAATATTAAATATGTTGTAATAAAGATTTAGCTTAGTTATTCTTATTTGACTATAAGCATTCCTTTTCTATTAAATAATAATTATCAACGAGAAAAGAAATGATAAATAGCGCCAGAAAAAAAAATTGTTAGAGCAATCCCTGCAGAAGAAAATTATGAACCTTGCTGTAGTTGTTTTTGTTAATTATAGGGAGATTGCTTTATTCTATCTTTTTCCTTAGTTCTCGAAAAATGCAATAAGGAAGTCGTTCTTATATTAGAAAGAAACTTTATTGGTATATTACCTTTGATAGTATATTAAAAAAAGTCTGTAACGACCTGACACTATTATATGGGCGATGAGAAAATCGTCACTCTGCATCTTCGTTCAACTTTTAATTGAATTATTTCTATTCGAAGACGAAAATTAATTATCTAATGAACTTGTTTAATTTACAAAATTAACTATCACAAGTCTAAACAATGCAAATTTTTTTGCAAATCTAATATATTTCCTAGCCAGTTTATTTGATCTGTGTAGTAAAATAGGAAATAAATGATAAACTTTGATAAAATGTAAAGAAATTATCTAAAATTTATGAGAGAAAAACAAGATAACATGTGTTTTTTTTGCTGAAGAATCTATTGGCTGGATTGCATGAAATTAACATCGTTCACAAAAGAGAACGTATATTTAATGAATGACTGTTTCCTTAATAGAATAATATCGTGTAAAAGCAGTTAATGATATTGAAATTAAAAAAAGACAATAAACGGTAAAACATTCAAGAATGGATGTCTGAGAAAATCAATTGCTTTAGTGCATTGAAGATGGAGTAATATCTCAGAATTTCCTTAATTTTTAAAAAATGCTATAGATAATGATAAGTATAGTATTCTCTGAAGCTGTCAGCTCAATTCGGTTATTTTTCTAGAAAACCATTACTCAGATTGCTGATAATATCTTTAATGATGATTATATTCTGACGTTTTACTCGTTCTTTCTTTGTAGATTTTCTTTGATAGAAAGACTTTTGTCTGTCGAAATGGGACAGTTTTTGACGTGATGCTCTTTTAATCATAGTTTATAATGATTTGTACTATAAACATAAAATTTCAGAAATTTTCATTATTGAAATATAAATTATATTACTATCTCACACAGAGCTATGCTTGAAGATGTCAGTCATCGTACTACTATCCATAAGTTATATATTCTCGACCGCTTAATATTTTTGTAAGCCCATTTTTGTTGCGAATGACATGATAATATAAAGTGACTAAATCAGATTTTTAATATTTTAATTATTAGCAAAAAGATCACGCGTCGAGAGAATGACAACTTTCATAGAAAATAGTATAAGAATGGGAGAATTTTTCGATTTTGAATGCAAAAAGTTGACTTTCATTAAAAAAATAAAGACTAAAATCGCAATCAACATCCAAAACTGCACGAGAAAAAAAAATTTCTTTTTTTTTTGAAAATATGACTGTACTTCTCCTAAATTATTTCCTCTGAAAATTTTACCCTATGTTCCCCTATAGGTAAGATTTCAAGCGGAAAAATTTTACAATGAAAAAAATTTTTTAGGTGTAATTCTGCATGCTGATTGCAAACATGTGATTTATTTTTGAAGAAAGTCAACTTTTCACAATCAAACGCTCAAAGTTTTCTCCGTCTTGTACTATTTCCTATAGAAGTTGTTCCTTTCTTAATGCATCATCTTTTTTGCTTATACTAAAAATACCCAGAATCTGGTTTAGTCATTTTATATTATTATACCATTCACAACAAAAAAGAAAGAGGTAAAAAAGAAAATATTATTTTGAGCTTTATTGCTGGTGAACATATCAAGCAGAAGTCAAAATCACTAGAATATATCGTTCCCTACTTCATCTCTACCATAATTTTTTTCTTCCCTGTCTCGTTACGTCTTAATAAGATGTTTGTATCTTTTGATATATTACACTATATATTGCAAAAATAGACGCAAGAATGTCAGAGTACAAAAGCTCGATACAGATCGAGATCAATGGATTTTTAATTTTTTTTAAATTTTATATTGAACACAGGAATAAAATATTATTAATAGTTGTTGGGCTTAGTTAGATCCTCTTTGATTGATAACTCGACCTGTCGCAGAAAACTGTCGTTCGACAGCAACTGAATTGTATAGTATTGAATATATGCGACATGTTAATTAACATTCCCGTGAGCTGTTTCGGCGGCTAATATCAAGACATTCCGTTGTTAACGTATAAAACACACTCGATTAACATTTTTAATAACTAAATGTCGAAAAAGGTGAAGTAGAACTTTGTTTGAGATAGACAAATAATATATTTTTAATTAAAGAAAATTTCTGAAATTTCGTAGTTAGTAGTAAAAATAATTAATAATTATCATTCAAAAAAACATGAAATTAGAACCCTCTCATTTCGAAAAACAAAAGTCGTTCTTTCGAAGAAAATCAACAAAAAAAGAATGATTAAAAATCAGAAAATAAATATCATTAAAAGTTTCATCAGTTTTTTGAATAATAGTCGTGGAAGAAAGTAATCGGATTGAGGTGAAAATTGTAGAGTTTGCTAAATTTATCATCATCTACAATATATTTAAAAAACTCAAGAAACTCCGAGAGATTATTGCATTGTTAGTGTCTAGATCTCTCTGACATTCATCCTTAAATAGATAAAATCAATTTGATTACAACCTATGACTAACCAGGGTTTGAACAGGCAAACATAATGACAGACAGTACTACTCAAGCTTTATGATTAAGTTTCTAAAGAAAAGAATGATAAAGCACACTCTTAATTAATTAGTCGACGCAAAAAATAAACGTGTATAATTCTTCAACAATTCTATAGATTTTGATGGACTTTTCATCATTTCATAAAATATTCTCTACATCACATCTTCCAATCCATTAGCTATAAGAAATATTATCCATAAATTGGCGTATTCCATTGTCGAAATTCGATGTTCTTTTGCTTGTAGTATTGAATAAAAGCTATACAATAGTTTGAACTCTTCATGCCACTAGATTTTCAACAAACAATCGGACTTAGTCAATTATTCTTAAATGATCATCATAGGTCTCGAAATATTCGATCTATGTGTGATGGTACAAGATATGTTGAATAAAACTTTAGAGCATAATTTATGAGACAGGAAAAAGTTCATTAATATTGATTGAACTATTCAAGAGTTATTTTCATTCTGTTTTGGGAGATACTTTGGAACATCCTAGAAAACTGAATATTGATACAAAACACTTACAACGCAAGTCTACCGTTATCCATTGCAAAACACAAAGAGCCGTGAGTATTTTTTTGAATAACTTTTTATAAGGGCAAGACTGAGAACTGTAGTTTTCATTATTCAATGGCGATTCGATCGGAGGGAATTGCAGATGTGACATTTCAGAAATCATGATAGTTTTTTTTCCCCAGTAGAGCTTAACTTTCCCTTTTGTATTCTGTTAATAGAGAGTTTCTCTTCTTTTGGAAAAGGTCACAACACACACTCAATGTTGGTTGCTGCAGATCACCATTGTTTCTTTCAAAAGTTATTCAAAAAGCACCCAGAGTTCTTCTTTTTTTTCTAAATGGATAATAATTAATCTTGATTATTTTTTCCTCGATTTGGAGCTTGAAGTAGGGTTTCCA